GCACGAGTTCGCGGCGCAGATCAACCTCTCCATGGACAACGCCTGGGGCATACTGCGCTGCATCATCGACATCTGCATGAAGCAGAAGGACGGTCAGGACACATCAACTTGCCCTTATCCCTTACGGAGGGTCGGCACAGTATGTGCTGCTCTTCCATACATATCTATCAGCCGTCATGTCTGAATCCACTCCCTTCTTAACCTTTGAATGCATAATGATGCATTTATACATCAGTCTACTCTTCCACGCCCAATAGATTATTTAAAAAAAAATAGTGGAAGAATTTTTCAAATCGGTCCAGTAGTGTTTGAGTTTCAATATATACAAAAATAAAAATTTCGTTTTCATTTTATTAAGCGAATTATTAAGTTGAAATTAACTTTATAGTAATCGTAAATTTTTATTTATAGGTAAATACTTGATAATGAAGGACCCCAACAAGCCGCTGATCCGTCTGTACGACATCCCGGACAACACGTTCGAGTCGGACGCGTCCGAGGAGAGCGGCGACGAGCCCGCCGACACGCCCTTCGCGCCGCTCTACGCGTACGGCTCCAACAAGCGGATCTAGACCTCTTTTGTATATCGTCTAAACTATATGTATTACAAATTTGTATTCAGAATAAAGATTTTCGGTCACACATTGACTTTTTTATATAGTATAGATTTATCAGGGTAGGGGAAATGTTTTCTGTATGTTCCATTGAATGAAATAAAACCACACTTACAGAAAAAATATATATTAAAAATCATAACAAACATTTAGATAAATCTATTATAAATAATTTCACTCATCGTCCCTCTTAGCAGTAGCCTCTGTTACATTTAATGCCTGAGCCTCCAAGTGACGCGGCCCCTGCATAAACTCCTGTATCTCTTCTAAACTCTTACCTTTCGTCTCAGGTACTAAGAAATACACGAAAACGACACCAATGTACGCTATACCCGCGAATATCCAAAACACAATATAATGCCCAAATACATCTTTTATACTTTGATAAGATTTCGTCACCGTAAAGTTCAAAATGCAAGAAATCATCGTAGCTGCACTCGATGCGATAGTTTTCACATTTATAGGGAATAATTCCGCCTGCATTATATAAGGTATTGTACCAATACCTACAGCGTATAGAATATTAAACCCTAAAACCCCTATCAGAGGCAAAGATGAAATCGCACTGAGGGTTTCGGGGTTTATTTTGATGTAATCTTGCAAAAAGAAATATATTCCGACAGCGGTTAATGATAATGCAACTCCAGAACAGGACACAATCATGAGGACCCGTCGCCCGAAGTAACCTGCCAGGAATGTTGCTCCTACACCTGGAAAAAAAAACAGTAAATACTTAAATAATTAATTTAAAAAAAACACCTGACAAAAGGCGTCGCCAGCCAGTGATTTTCGCTAATTCTAGGAGGGAGAGACTACTAAAATTTTACACGTACTTTTTAAGTTATTTGTGTGGATAAATGGATTGTAAACATTTTAGCATTTTAAAATAATTTTAAATTAATTTATATGTCTTGGCGTCAAGCAATTGTGGCATGTTATAAGTCATTTTTAAATGCTTCTCTATTAATCTATTAAAGAATAATACAACTTTAATGGTATAGAATTTTTTTTTAATTAATTGCCTATTTTTTTTCTATTTAAGGGAAATGACGTCACAACATAGCATAAGTTGAAACACATTTTTATTTGAAACGAACTGTAAAACATATTAAAAACGGCCTGTTTTCATAAAATATGTAGCTCACCTGCGCCTAACTGTACGAAGCCGTACACAATACTGACGTAAGGACCCGATATCGAACTGCTCTGTGTGAAAATGATCTCTAAATATGACTGAATCGCCAAACTACCAGTCATGTATTGAAATATCTTGAGTCCTGAAAAAAAAAAGAAAATAATAGCATCTACTTTTACTACAATGTAGGTTTAATGCATGTGTCCATTCTGAAAAGATTTTGCGAGAAAACAATAGCGAAATAGAATACGCAAACTTAAAATAACAATTAGAGAGTTAACTATTATTGACTTAATTTTGCAGATAGAATCCCAATTGACACATAATTTAATTTATTAACATAGCAGCGAGCTTTGATTATGCATTTTCATACAAATCGCAATTAAATTTTATTCTAAAGATAAATAAATATATCGATAAGTAACATATCCTTTTTGACCGACTTCCCAAAAGAAGGAGGTACTCAATTTGTCTGCATGTTTTGTTTTTATTTTTTTTTATGTGTGTAAGGCCATAATGTAAAAGACAATTTGTTTTCTCCTGTATTTATCAATAGAACAATAAAAACTTATCAGGGTAATAGGCGCATTTGCGGTAACGGAAAATATAAAAAGATTCATATCTAGATTAAAATTTATCTAAAGCACAGATAACACACATGAGTTGGAAGTTGGAAGAACTCTACAGATAAGAGAAACATCTATTATCTACATTGTTGCTAATCAATGTTATAATGCATTTAAATATAAATGTGAATGACTTCGACATTTTAAATAGAGAAAATTTCATTTTAATCTAACCTCTAAATTTAATGAGCAGAAAAAATTACGTACATGGCGGCCATTTTTTTTTTTAGTTATTTCGCGAAAAAGAAAATTACATATATTAAGACTGGTTACATATTTTTTTTTAATACCTGTTATGATATAGACAGCTTTTCTATATTTTACTTTACACAGTAATTCTTTTAGCGTGGATTTGTTCTCCATACTTTCTCTCACGTGTACTCTGATTAAACCCAACTGTTGATCTGCCCACTGGAAGGATTAATAAAAAATAAAGCAAACAAATGCGTAACAATAAAAAAAAATCGATCCCTGACTATTTTTGAACCGGTCAGTCATTACAATAAACTAATAAATTAAAACTTATTTTTTAATTCAGTTTACCAACAAACCTTTGAATCCTTGCATCCTTTGATGATCATGAATTCCTTCTTTGCTTCAGCATATCTGTCATCTTTGAGGTGATAGTAAGGGGACTCTGGTATCCAC